GCGCAGCACAATTTTCAGACAGAAATTATAGAAAAAATAATTTCAGGAGTATTACACCCTGTATTACTAATTATGAATATATATTTTTTTTAATGAAGTGTGATTTCGAATATAAGCCGCACCCCACTTTTCCTCTTGAATTTTTGGCAAAAAATGTGCGGCCTATACATGCGTAAATACGGTAATTAATTTTAAGAATGATCGTTAGAAAAATAATGTGCTACCAGCGAATGAAAACAGAGTAATTTAACAACAATTTATCCATGAAATGTAAATCTGTTCTGAAGGATACTACACGGACATACCGGTGCACGTGCACTGAGAACGTGGTGTATGAAGTGTTGAAGTGGATCCGTCTGCAGCCTCGAAGCCTTCAGTAGGGCAAGAGGTCAGAGCCACAAGAAAACGCTTATTGCACTGATACTTAAAAAATGAATTGGGTTAAATGTTAGACACAGTAGGAAACCTCAACGGAAAAATACGTAGAACATGAAACAGAAGGATGTGCACTCACTCGCAAGCATACAACTGATATGTCCGTATTTCTCCCTGTTTAATTTGCAGTGTCAGTCTTGAAGGCGCAACCTCTCATCATGCTGGGTCCAAGTCGTCACTTCCAAAATAAATATTACTTCTACGACATATTTTGACTTAAAAAGGTCATCATCAGGTAGACACTTTCACGTAAGTGCCATACCGTGTTAAAAATAAAGGTAAAGGTGTACCAGCCGGTTACGGTAGCCGAGCGGTCTAAGGCATGCATTGTCTTCGCTCGCTTGAAAGCCGAGATCGTGGGTTCGAATCCCACTCAGGGCATGGATGTTTGTGTGCGTTTTTCTGTGTCTGTCTACAGGTAGAGGCCTTGCGACGAGCTGATCACTCGCCCAAGGAGTCCTACCGCATGTGTAAGATCTTGAAAAACCGAAGTGAACGGAGAAGTTCATGGAGGTAGGCCTAGGCCAACTGCGGCTGTAGTGCCAAGGGAAAAAAAAGTTGTCCCTGTGCTTAACTAATTAAGCACTACGCCATGAAGGCGTATGGGGTAGCGGATGTATAGATCCACGTTTTCTTGACCTCTGCACTAGTTGCAGGTGAGTGGTCAGTTTCACGTCCCGGCCACCTTATCCCCGAGGCAAGAACCCCCGGTCTCCCTTTGACAGGAGATTGAGTGGGCCCCAGAGCCGGTTCGGACGCTGTGGAGAACCGACCCCTCGATCGTCCAGCCCATAGCCAGTCGCTATACCGACTGCGCTATCCTGTCTCCCCGCTGTACCGTATTGTTTCTTCTAATTAACTGTTCTAAATACTCGTTGAATTTTGCTGGGATTAGTCAAAGCTGATTCCCTCTGTCTAGCATTTCGTAGTTTCTTCGGGTACGGGGGTCTATGTTCAGTGCTAAGGCGGTGTTGCGTGACTTCTGTGGATGGCGGACGGTTACTTCTCTTCTTAGTTGCCGAGCCACAAACTGAGATCGTATCGAAATGGAGCAAACAAAACAATTTTCTAAGCAGCATCATTTGTTCTACATCTAACGCAATACATCCCGTATCTAAAATGAAAAAAAGGCCCCTTGAATAGAAAATCTGTAAAGTTCTCTTCATGGGGAAGGCCGTTCTTTACAATTCGAGTGGCTGTAACATGTTGTGACTGGCTTAGTAAAATTTGTGTCAGAATGAAAAGGGGCCAAATTTGAGTGTGGTTCCGTATTCCGTATTGAGGGGGTGGGTTTCCACATGCACTTAGACCGGTTACTGGTCCATTGTGCGTCCCCCTTTTAATTTCTACTGTCTCCATACCCTACCGGTACTGGTGCTTACTATCAGCCCCTTTCTGCCAGTGAGGTTCCAACCTCTTACTGGCAGTGGTATCTAATAATAAGTAGTCCCTTTCTGTCAGCGAGGTCGTCCCTCCTCTGGCAGGGGTTCCTAGTCCCTTTCTGCCAGCAAGGTTTCTACCCTCTACTTGGCAGTGGTATCTAATACTTTAGTCCCTTTCTGTCAGAGAGGTCCCCCCTCCTCTGGCAGTGGTACCTGATACTTCCCCCATCTACAGGAGGAATTGGAAACTAGTTGGGCTGGAAACTTGGCCTAATTTTGCTCAGAGGTCTCCTAGAGACATGAGGTCCTTTTACGTGCCGTAAATCTAAGATACGGGACCCACGGCTGAAAGTCCCTCCCGGAGGACTTGTTCCCTGAATTTTTCCGCCCTTAAAAATTCCACGACATCCGCCGGGTTTGAACCCGCGTACCTTGAGTCATGAGGTGGGAACGTTACTTGAGTATGGTTTGTATGCTTTGTCTTCCGTGCGCCTAACGCTTACATCCGCGCCATCAATCACAATATAGGACGCACACAAACATGAGGACCCGGGTCTGGTCAAGTGGGATTTGTGGTGGACAAAGTGGCGCTGGGGCAGATTTTCTCCGAGTACTTCGGTTTCCCCTGCGAATCTTCCTTCCACCAATTGCTCCACAATCACCCTCACCTATCATCTAGGGCTGGTACAACAGGCCAGAAGTGGCCGCAGTACAAGGGACTTAGTCCCACCCCACTAGCAATAACAGAAGCATGAGGGCAAGTGATAACATGTAGAAAAGACGAACTCATAGAAACAAGACGCTCAAGAGCTGGGAGCGTCAATAAGTGGCAAACAATTTGTGAAATGGCAGAGTCCAGGAGACATGATGGAAGTGAGAAGACAGCATCAGCATAAAGCAACATAAATTAAAATCTGAAATATCGCGGTTTCTGTATTGGCTCTATTGAAAATAACGGACCCATAAGATGTGTGTTAAACAGACGAAAGCACATATATCCTAAATAAAACAAAATTTTAATATAATGTCTAAAACGGTGGGGGGGGGGGGTTNATGTATAAATACGCATTTTATTGGCCTCATCACTAGCTGCAGGTAACTGTTCAGCTTCACGCTCTTTTCGTTTTACCCCCGAGGAAAGAGCCCCAGTTACCCACGATAGGAAGCTGTGTGGGTCCCAGAAAAATTTTGACTTTACCGGGACTCGAACACCAAACTTTCTGTCGTCCAGTCCGTAGCTAGTTGCTATACCGACTACACTATGACGCCGTGTTGTCCGTTTAAACTCAACCGATATTTCGAAGGAATATATCACCTCAATCTTCAGGGTCGAAGAATAAACCAAGCAAGAAACTAGCATGAAGTATATGGTAAGGTGAAGATGGAGGCAACATGTTGCCCCGAAACATCGGCTGATTTTCAACGGACTTCACGGCGTTATGTCTCCGAAGACAGAGCTTTTTATGGGCACCGGACTTACGTCACTCTTATCTGAGGTATGCCGCAAGCCCAAACAGACAGCACAGCATCACATCCTAGGCCTTTACGTCTGGAGCTTCGAATCTTACAAAGTGAAGAAGATTTTTGGTTTCTGAATTGTGGACAATGCAGCAGTATGGGATACAGATGTTCCTCACCTTCTGTACAGTCGCAACATATTTCCACTAAATTTCTTCGGCCGCCAGCGAACCCAGTTAGTTCCGAAGATTAACACTTTCTAACGAGTATAACTTGCTGACAAGCTGAAAATTATGAAGGTTATCGATAATACATAACCGTTGATGAAGTTGTCATATTTATCGTGCTATAACCTCAAACGTGTACTGAAACTAACACAAATGCAATAAATTATGTGTACCGTTTGTAAGTGAACTCGGCTTTACTGCGATTCACAAAACTTACCTACAGGTTCTACACCAGATGTCACTCCAGCCGGTTTCATGGTTCGCCATTATGTACTGTGTCCACGCCTTCAAGAAGTCCGTATTATAACACTTTCCAATTTGAATTTGGATGAATTTTCAGAGTTCACTGACTATAATTTGCCACATATGATACAGCATTCAATTTTATAGTACATTCATGTTCTAATCACAAATAATATGCCAATTTAAACAAACGCAGTCACATTCACTCACTCACGTATCAAAAGTCCTCGTGATCTGCCTACAGCGCCATGTGTTCGTCAGACGTCGGTTCGTTTCGTCAATTTCCGGAAACTACAAGTAATGGCGGGGTATTCAGATTTTTCGTATCATCACAAAGTGTAACCGGACTTTAACATTGGCAGAAGATTGTTAATGTCAAGACTAGTGATGGAAAAATATTAATTCATGCATACGAATTCTTAATTATGGAGCATACAACTTGAATGAAGGAGGAAACTTACAAAAATAAATTTCAGAACCTTGGGTATTAATTGGCGCTGTTGGCAGTTGGGTTTAGTCTGCTGAAGGCTGAAGTACGTATGTTAGAAAGTTTCGGAGGTGGAGTAAATTCTCAGAGAAGTTTCATAAAAATCTACCAGTTGCTTCTAAATTTTCTAAGGAAGACAGACGAACATGGACATGATGGTACTATAATTATGCCTTGTCTTGTAGTGTAAGCAAATTAATAGAGAGCGGTGATGAAGATGAAGCCGATCTTAATAAACACATATGTTAATTTTCTGCATTGGATTATCTTGGTTTAAAATCAATTTGTATCCTTCAAACTAACGGCCTACAAATACAATTAATAAATACAGTAAGTTCGATAAGTGCAAATTTAAGAAGACTGCCTAAAAAAATTAAGGACAAAATAATTTAAAAATATTATAAATGCTTATTAAAAGAACTGGATCTACGAATGATCAATTGATTGTGAAATTTAGGATATCACGTCAGGAGGAACTCCGTGATGTACTCGTATATTGCCTACCTGTCGCATATATGGCATGTTTGGAGGCTGATCACATGGCTAGGATAGGGTGACATGGGCACACAACGAATGAATACAGAAGTTTAATGAAGAAATGGGAAGAAATCATTTCGATTATTATGGGGAGACAGATCACTGGATGGAAGCATGTCCAAAGTTGCCGGTCTCAGCAACTATAGTGTTATTAGTATCCATGACGTAATACGCGTATTTACTAAGACGTTGTTTCTAAAGATTCATTTTTTGCTTCAATTCTGATTTCAGGATCACAACCGAATGGCGCTAAATCAGACATAAGGAAAGGAGAAACAGCGGGACATCGCCAGAGAGTCAAACGAAAACCGCGGGTTCTCTTTTCTCAGGTACGAAAATGTTCCGACGACCCTGAAGGAGGAAGGACACTATATTTCGCAATACAATACCGTGTAATCCGGCAGAAGTTCACCAAGAGCAAACCTGCCGTATGCTTCGTGTTAGTCAGTTTCTTTGTTTATTCTTCTACTGTAAAGAAAGATGATGTACATTCCTCCGAAATGTCTATGAACTACCGGAATCCAGAGTGTCACATCGACTCTTCACAGTCAAGGCTCTGAAACCTTCAGATCCGATAAGATTCAGGAAGATTTCCATTATCCAGGTTCCGTTGTAGGGAGGTTTTACTCTACAGTCTCTATGTATGTGGGTATCAAAATAATTTTGTTACAGAGTAACATTTAATTTGAGTATAAGAAATCAATAAACACAAAATTGTTGGAAATACTTTCAATATTTACAAAATTACCTACATTTTTATGTTGGCCGCAAAACCTTTTATGCTCTTTACAAGTTTTTGTGTGTTTCTGATAAGAAACTTTGGAGATAATAATTCAAAGTGAACGCTTACGTGCGAATTAAGGTGTTATGATGACAATTTGTCCCAGTTTACTCTACCACGATAAAAAGAGCACGTTTACGTCATCTTCAGCATTCTCAGACATGAAGGGAAAGTCATCCTGGAAAGCCGTGTGTTCGTCATAAATTTTCCTTTCTTTAAACTAAGTAAATAAACACCCATCTATGTACGAACCCAATTAAGCCCACAGAGCGGAAGCCATCTTGAGATGCTAGCAGTCTCTCAGATGGCTAAGAAATTCTCCGCTTTTAGTGCACGGCAGAGTTCATTACCAGTTTCACAAGAGCCCAACGCTGGATCTTATTCTCCATCCACACCCTCATACCCTATGCCCTCTGGATAAGTTTTAATATTATCCTGCGACATAAGCCCGAATCTCCCAAGCGGTCTCTTCCATCTGTATTTGCAAGTTGAAATTTTGCACTAATTTGTGTTTTTCCCCAATTGTGTTACAAACCTCGGCCCCATTTTCCGTTTTTTAGGCAATATTAAAATACTGTTGAATGTGAAGGTTTTGCTACGTATTGTAACATGCTAGCTTTTGAGATGAGGTAGCTTCCAGCTCGTCCCATGTTGGAGAACTGCCCATTATACGATATAATCAGATGGTGACACAGATCGCCATGCTGAGATCTTATTGAATACATAGGATTATTCTTCCATTAGGTTTATATTCTCAAGCAATGATGAACCCTTAGAGACAGTTTAAAGAAAGCATGCCTTCCATACGTGGAGGTCGCCTCCTCCACCCGCAAACTGGACATGCGCCATACCTTGACCACAATAGAATTATTTCAGTTTACCAAAACTCAGTAGCCTTGCTTTAATCTCAATGTGACATCCTGTAACTTGCGAACCGAGGGTCAATGCCAAATGAGCACACGTAACACACAGCGACAGCAACACGTGTACGTCTACATGTTGAGCCGTATCCAGCCTCAAGCCGAAACTCTTCAGCTCTCGCCTCTTATAGGCCACTCGCTGTTGCCAAGCACTTAAATAAAGAAGCAGAATTACTACTACTGCTACTACTACTACTACTACTACTACTACTAGACCTCTTACATATGTTCTGACTTCCTTCCTATTGTCAATCATTAACGGCCAAATGATTAAATGTGCAGATCTGTCACGTACTTTAAAAATCATAAACTTTTTATTTTGTCCACAGACTGTAATCATGTTTGGTATTATATTAGAAAAACCTATTATTTCCTTGTACAGTATTAACCGGGTTGAAGACGCATTGTGTTCTCTTTGGAGTAGTAGCAACTGAATATATAAATATTATATATAGATAAATTTAATAGTTCAAAGCGTCAAATAAATGCAGGTGAGCTTAATTTGGCCATCGGCCGTGCCATAGCTCAGGCGGTTAGTCGCTGGCCTAGGTCGCGTCATGTGGGATTTGTGGTGCACAAAGTGGTACTGGGACAGGCTTTCCCCGAGTACTTCGGTTTTCCCTGCCAAGTCTCATTCCACCGACTGCCCCACATTCATCATCATGTATCCGGGGCTGGTGCAATAGGCCAAACAGTGGCCAACCTAACAATTGGACTCCGTCTCACCCCATCCCCAAGAAACTTAATTTGGCTATTATAATTTATGGAGCAGTTTTCCGCACTTCTGTGCAAACATCATTCAAAATACCTGAATGAAATTTAGTGTCAACTACATTCTGCATGTTTGCTTTGTGCTGCAGGCTCAAGTTCACGAACTGGAAAGACGCTTCAAGCAGCAGCGTTATCTTTCGGCTCCAGAACGGGAGCATCTAGCGAACGCCCTGAAACTCACATCAACACAGGTGAAAATCTGGTTCCAAAACCGCCGCTACAAAAACAAGAGGCAGAGGCACCTGCTGGACGGGGCGAACAGTGGCAGCAAGTTCCAGCAGCAGCAGCAGCCCCGCAGGATTGCCGTGCCAGTTCTTGTGCGAGATGGGAAACCCACTCCTTCCGGGAGCCATCACCTCATCACTAAGAACTATTCTGCACCTTCGCATTACCTGGGACAGCCTCCACCAACGTACTCGACCCTGCTGCCCCACAAATTTGAACCTCCCTCCCCATCACTTGAAGGTTACACACACATCCAGGAACACCCGCACTATGGCAGACAGACAAGTGTGGAAGGAAACCCTCTCAGGACATGGTAACGTGTGGCTTTGTTGATATCGCAGCGGGGAACTGAACTCCACACCAAAATGATAAAATGTATGTATGAACAGTTTGCCAAGAGCACCTGCATCAAACTCTACAATTGCGAGATTTAGACTGCAAAATGACTGAGACGGAAGTAGGTTACGCTGTCCTGAAATCCCTCTGAAATTTGGTGGGCTTTAAGTCTATGTTGGAGTTTCAGTGTTATCACAATCTCATTGCAAGTTCTTCACGTCACGTCTGATTGGAACACATCGCACCAGTGTAGCAAACAGGAAAGAGTTTTAAGCGTTTTGAATCGCAGCCACGTTATTCTGACGGACTTTCATCTACAACATATTTATGTACAGAAACGAAGTGTGTAGCTATAGAGATTTTGTCCGTTCGAGACGGCAAAGGTAAAATAAATACTTGTCATTACATTGGGTCTGTTAATTCATACTTTCTCTTCACCTGAATATATCTCACGTGTCTGAAGTGCGCTAGAGATTCTGAAATTGTTTTTCAGTCATATTACCTCGCCCTCCCCAAACGTGCAGTATAGGAGGTTTTAACAGTTTATGTTATCCCTCTCAGACTAGCCTATCTCTCTCAGACTAGTCTAGGAGTATTAGTATGCTTGTATTTGGGAGATGTTCGGGTCGAATCTCTGGCGGGTCACCGGCTCTTCTGACTGAGGTATTTGTGGTTTTCTTCAGTCCCTCGAGGCGAATGCTGGGATAGTATCTCGGTTAGGACACGACCACTTCCTTGCAAGTCCGTTCAAATCCATATTTCATATCTCATTCCACTATCCGAGACTTGCTACTGAAAACTCGTAGTTAAATAACACACCGGAAAGGAGACATTCACTTCTCCAGTCACGTGAGAGTAACTCGTCTCAGTATTGGTTCGGGTGTGGGTGGCGATCTTGTTTTTCCGTTTATCGAATAAATTCTTAAATCTGCTCGCTGAAGTATTCCTCGGGGATGAAGAGGCGATAATGTCGAGTTCATCTATGCTCTGCCAGACATTCTTCAATATACCTGCGCATGCGCATCTGGCTGATTTTTGTATCCTCAAATGTTACATGGCTTTATGCCTGCTCGGTCTATGTTGTGCTAGCTTATGGTTAGGTTGGTTTACCCAGGTCGCGTTGGCGATCTGTTAGGTTGAGGTGAGCCAGTTGAGTTCAGCAGAAGTATCGGGGAGACGAAAAATGCAAATAAATTTGAATTCAGAGAATCATAGGCGACAGGGACGCGCCATAGCTCAAGCGGTTAGTCGCTGGCTTCCCACCGCGGCGGCCCGGGTTCGAGCCCTGTTCTGGTCAAGTGGGATTTGTGGTGGACAAAGTAGCGCTGGGGCAGGTTTTCTCCGAGTACTTCGGTTGCCCCTGCCAATCTTCATTCCACCAATTGCTCCACAATCACCCTCACCTATCATCTGGGGCTGGTACAGTAGGCCAGACGTGGTCGCAGTACAAGGGACTTAGTACCACCCCACTAGCAATAAAAAAATAATCATAGGCGAAAAGACATAGGCCTGAATAAGAGAATGATTTTAAAATCGATCCTGAAGATGTATCGAGTCTGTGAACTTCTTTATCTCCTTAAGAACAGGATACAGTTGCTGGCTGTTGAGAACACAGCAATTAACTTGCGAATCCATACAATTCGGGGAAGATATTTATCAGTTGAGATACTATCAGCTTCTAGGGAATGACTGTGTAGGTGATATGTGAACTCTGCTTCCTGGGTTGGCTAGTTATACCATGCACACTGCCGCATCTGGCGACAGAGGATAATTACCTTTCGGGCTAAGGAGAGCGCTCTGAAACTTCTACAGCAATAATGATAACAACATACACAGATATGAACTTACTAACGTAAGTAATACATTATGCACGCTGCTGTCGCAAAACGCTCGTTAAGCATAATGTTTGTGACGACAGCTTGGTCTGATTAAGTAGGTTAATGGACCATAGGCTGCGAATGGAATGAAAACATGGCTGTTTCATATGCACTGGGTGCTGAGAGCGGATTAAATTCAGTGTCATTTACTTCCAGCCTTCTAATCTAAACACCTAAATATTTCAGCATATAGAACTGCAATTTTACCCGGTGTTTTGTACCGGCGAAAACTTGATTCCTTACTGTAACGGAAGAACATAAATTGATAGTGATTAAGAAAAAAGACAAGGGTCACGAATTAGCGTAGTTGGTCGAGGCACTGTGCTGCAAGCTGGAAGGTCGCAAGTTCGACTCCCGACGAAGTAATCGTATTTTTCAATTGACCTAATCTTTCCGGCCGCACTGTGGCTCTGGGGTCGACTTCACCTCTAACAAAAATGAGTACCAGGAACTTTTCTGGGCGTAAAGGTCGGCCTGCTCGTAAGGCTGACAACCTCACCTCCATCTGTGAGTTTATTTTCTAGAAAATGTGGGAGCCTCGATTTCTCACAATCCTATGGGCCTCCACGGCCTGTTACAGGGATTGCTTTGCCATTTTTATGAATAAAAGACATAAAAAGAATACTTGGATATAAGACAAAGGGAGAAATACGAATTAGACAAGAAGTTCTCGGAAGAAGTAGCGTAGCACAGCACTACACAACATTACATTCCACAAGAGAACTCTTCATAAACGCCGTTGCAAGAACTTTAGGTCGTATACAAGATGATATAAATTTCAGATCACACAAACTTAGTACTCGTAATTATGACGAACCCGTTTCTCTAACCTCCACGAAAAATAGAACGAAATTATTTATTTGTATTCATCAATTCCATAAAAGAAGTGGGCATTATTTTAGTTACAGCAATGGCCACAGGAAATCTCAAAATTGAATTTCAAACAAAAGAGGCATATTGTAATTTGCATAAAACGTAGAAGAAGAATACTTCATGATCTAAGGTTCTTACAGCGGAAGCTATGAAGTTATGTGTTCTGGGATATAGCTCCGTGTGGTCCTGTGAAAGTCTGCCGACGTTTCGGAGGCACTTAAGACCTTCATCCTTATGGTCGAAGAGTAATTCAAACAAGAACTCAGAAATAAGCATGCAACCTGCATAATTGCAGAAGTACTCTCGGAGAGCTTCAACATATGTTAAAAAAATATATCTTCAAAGAGAAAACAATAGAAACAATTCTTCTCCAGGATTACAGCTCTTCAAGCCAACCTAGTACAATAGAATAATTATTGTACATGACAGCAAATTAGCTCATAGAATGTAAATTCAGATTGCTAATAAATGATAAATAAAAAAAAGGATTAATAGTAAAGGCACTATAGCCCAAAAATAAGTGCGGAAGTGCCTGAGAGTAATCTGTAAATCTGAAAATGCAAAGCAAAAATAAATTCTTTACAAGACCGCTTCACGCTGAGAAATTATTACGTAAAGAGGCAGCGGAGAAATACAGTAATATTCGTCTATCAGTCCATGGGAATATTTGATGTCAGAAACTACAAACAGAAACAGCATTTGTTACGGGGCTTCTCGTAGGGCTTACTCAAAATTATGTGACGATATTTATTTCGATTTTTCTGGGATTCGTGTGATTATGCTTGCGCACTGTGCAAGGCAACTCACTGCAAGGACTACAGATATTCCAGAAAGGCTGAGAGATCTTTTCCAAGAAATGCCCTACATTTTATTAAACACCCACGTTTATTACCGTATTCACCAGGCCCTCATACAGGACCATATTGTCACGAAGTACGTGCGACTATAGACGGGGTTTGGATTGTTGAATTGATTTACTGACCACTTATACACACAACTCAGAACACAAGCAATTACAGCGCCACCGCTAATCTCCACAATTCACAAATCACCACAGCACCCGTTAAGCCTTTTCCAGCCTCTTGTGTCTTCACCGGCCGTTCCATAGTAACAGTTTCTAACAGTGGAGATTCTTCAGCTTCAGGCGCTCAAGTCCTCACTTCACAGACTCCGTACAGAACTGACTATCCCGACTAAACCTCACGGTTATAACATCTCAGCACGGACAACATAGAATACATAGTTCTATTGTCGCGTGAGTGTATGTTGCGCGCGTTTCCTACCAATGGTCGCTTATCAACGTTTCTATACGGCACAATATCATAAGCCAACGAATAGGATCCCAATACGTCCTACTTTATAAGTTCAATTTTAATATTATTCTTCCATTTAAACTGAGGTGATATAAGTGGTTTGTTCAGTTCAGAATGTTGACTGACATTTTACATGCATCTGCCATGATCTTCCTCACGTGCTCTGCATTTCCCACCTATTTCAGTACTTGAGCTCATCAGTCTAACAAGGTTTGCAGAAGAATAGGTCTGATGCCTTTCTATTTACTTGATTTTGTTCTTTGTTTATCGTTGCTTTCACCGGCTCAGGCTACATAGCGTCGAATTATAGGATATTCAGTAAACATTAATTTTTGTACTAATTTCCATCTTCTCTACAGCGCCCAGATCAGCTCTGCTTCTCACCGGGCCTCCTCTCCAATGGATACTGAGAGATTATTTCCAGGGTTAAAGCGGCTGGGGGTTGAAGCTGACCACTCACCTCTATCCAGTGTCAAGGTCAAGAACTGTGGAGTCATAACCCCACTCCACGACAAGCTTCAAGTCGTGATGCTTAATTAATTAAAGACAGAGGTAATTTTATCTCTTACCTTTACCTTTTTGCCCGTCATTGGCGTGGAGGAACTGAAATGCTTCAGTCAGGACAGCCCGTGTCCGCACGGAGGTACAAGCTTTGCAGTCACCACTCGTTTTACGATCACCTGCAAAATGAAATTAGCTTGTTAGTGATATAGATCTACTGTCCTGCTGGAAATCATCAGAAAATAAGTGTACAAGTGTAATCGCCGGTCACGGTAGCCGAGCGGTCTGAGGCATGTATTGTCTTCGCTCGCAAGCCTGGATCGTGGGTTCGAATCCCACTCAGGGCATGATGTTTAGTTTGTGTGTGTGTATGTGCGCGCGCGCGGTTTTCTGTGTTTGTGTACAGGCGGAGGCCTTGCGACGAGCTGATCCCCCGCCCAAGGAATCCTACAGAATATCTAAGATCTAGTAAACCGAAGTGAAACGGAAAGTTTCATGGAAGTAGGCCAAGGCCCAAATTGTGGTTGTAGTGCCAAAGGAAAAATATGTATCCAATATCCGTGACGATACATATACATACATACATATATAGCTCTATATATTGCCTGTGTCACAGTAGCTACAGATGGTTAATATCTTTGTAGTGAGCCGTGTTGTTCTAACTACTATCTTCCAGTAGACTTACTGATGGTGCTTAGGACAGAAGAGACAAGAAATAATTCTATTAAGCCTTTCAAATAAAGTGGTTACTATATGTTCCACCTCATAAATTTTCCCAC